ATTAACATGAATATTTCTGGAAAAAAATTGATATAGTGCAATAAACATTTACTCTGTTATTATTTTCAACGAAATAGGCTATCAAACAGTAAATTTGATTCATATTGTACTCTTCAACAGAATAGATTAATCCTAAAAGTTTGTTGTTTCATTAGATTAATCTTAATGATCGAGTTTGAAAAAAATATGATAATACTGATACGGATGGATATTCAACAGCGGTTAAACGATTACTTTTGAGATTATTTTCAGAAATATCATTATAGAGTAAATGACAGGACTGTATTGAGTATCCTTTGTGAATCAATCTCATTTAGAATATCGTCGAAATCCAGAGGGCACTGGACAGATGTTTTACCCCTCATAATGCCGTACTCAGGACCCTACGAGGATAAAACCCAGTGTTTTGGAGGAGCAAATATCATGGAAAGTGCAACTCTTGGAATGTCATCTGTACAAGCTAATGTGAATGCCTGGGTGTGTGGGTGGATGAAATATAATAGTAAGAGTTTGGCTGCAGTCTTTTATTTTGAACTCAAGGCTGTGAAAAGAGATAATGGGTAATGACGGACCAATAGGACAGAATAACAGACAAGAAGTTGTAAAGTTATAATGGAAATCCTGATTGGTGAACCTAGCATGTAGTGTAAATCAAATCGCTCAGGCTTAACAGTCATCGACATAGTGTTCAGAATACTTGGGTATTGAGGTGAATGTTTAAACATTAAAACCGAATTGGCGTAAAATTGAACAATTCTAAGTTCAATCGATTTCCGATATAGCTCGACGACCATTCAATACAACTGTTGACAATTACTTCATTATCGATAAGTGTGAACTGATCAAATTATTGCCATTTTCTGTTTTGGCATATCAATGTTCTTTTAAAGGCAGTGTTTGGAGATACACCTTTCAGTAATCTCTTTCCACTTTAGATGTACATAACTTTGAGATTTTGTAACCTTAAAAGATATTTGAATGGTTTGTTAAGAAAATGATTACTTTTTACTACATGGATAATTTTAAAACATGTAATAATATCTGACGTGTCTGTGTATTTGTAACTGAACATAGGATAGAATGATAATGATTATAAGGAAGAAGAATTGCATTATTATCTATCCATAATATGAATTATAGTGTTTGATTTCAAAAAGTCTGCCAAATACTTACAAGATGTTTCTTGATCCAAGTCATTTAAAATACTTGCTAACAATGTAAAGTAATGAATAATCTGTAACTTCTACCCGCAGAGAAATTTAATTTATACCTATGTTTGTATTAAAACAACTTCATATCCTTCAAATAAGTGTTTTTCATGAAGAAGGAAAACCATTTACTACGTTACAGTTCTTCTTAAATATAATTATAATTACACTTCAAGGCTTTGATACTTTATCTTGATATAAATGAACAGTAAATACTAGGCGCGTATTTAAAAATAATCGAACAAGTGGTGTATTACCGATAGGATTTACGAATAGTGAGTAAGAAATTAATTCGCTATATGACTGCTTATATTACTAAAGAAACTATGTGTATAGTCTAGCTTGACCTATCGGCTACTAAATTCCCGTAAAGTCATACTAGACAAAGTAACCAATGTCTAAAAAATACTTGCACACGTTAGGTCTTTCAACTGTCTAGTTTTAATTTTTCTTATCGGTTATTAAATTAATGAACGGTTATTTACCAAGTATACAGAATACTCTGTTGTTCATGCTTTATAAACTTAAATCTAAAATAGGTCCACTACAAATACTAAACTAGAACCCTCATATACTTATTAATAACTATTTGATGTCATTTAAATTTCCTCCAGTGGAATTTCAGTTAACAAAATATATATTCTGTATAGGAATCATTGCTAATCTATTAAGGCAGTTACGATTGTTGCTGCTATTCTAGTACTTGCGTGATACACGATTAATGTCACCTTACTTACTAAATGTAAAAACTTGCTCTTAAGAGTAATTACAATGAAACAAATTTACATTTAATCTTCCGTTGAAGATAACAATCATGGGCATAATGATAAATGAATAATATTTCCAAGTGATTCGCTTTACTTCTTAGATGATGTACAAAATATATCTCATAATTTCTCACCCCCTCCCTATGTTATCAATCATAAAAATTATTATGATCGTTGTGCTATCAGCAAATTGGCCATCCTTAGTAAGATTAATTACTTTCATAGATGCTTATGGATGATACGTTTTAAAAGCCATTCATAATTAAAACCATTAGCTACAACCCATTTAGCTGTGTCCTACAATACTAATATTTTCAATAAATTACTGTAGCTCTAAATAACAGAAAGGCTCATCCATCAGTCTACCGAATTATCATAGCTACATTTTGCACCAAAACTTACTGAGAACATAGAATATCCAGGCAATAATTTACTCAGTGAAAGTGTTACAACTTTCCAAATAACTTGCAAGTAAGAAAAGTATAAGTAATAGATAAAATTCTATTCTTGGCAGACATAAGGAACCTCTGATAAAACTGCTTTTAAGTAAATTCACTATGTTATTTGTATACCCGTTTATATACAATATTAACGCTGTCCATATCAAACACTAATAGGTGATGTTCCCTTCGGTAATGATTTTAAAACACATATTTCCATTGTATCTAAGAATAGTTTATTCATAGCGTAAGTTCCTTATAATTCATTGTTTCAATGGTGAACCATATCTGAAAATTAGGGAAACGCTGTTAATAAATAACATTTCATCAAACACTTTGAGATTTAGTTGGGTTTACGATATTAAGCATTTAGTTGGTTAAAGCATTTTTGTTGTTGTTATTATTAATAACTTTATACATTTACATCTACATCAACCACCTCCTTGTATAGTTGCACCAGAGATATTATCTAAACTGACAAAAAACTTTTCTTTACTACGAAAGCTTGAATTAAAGAAGGTTAAATATCTAAAAATGTCCATATATATTTCCGATTGGTTCATGTAATAGAATAATTGAAGCATGAATTCATACATTTTCATATGTAGTTGAAAACTAAGAATATAACTATGATATGATCAACTTATTCTTTCCTGTCAATACAGTAGTGAATTTTCTTCCCAACAATTAGTCACTCTTTGGATAAAGACTAAATCGAAAGTGCAAATGATTAAAATTTCTAATAACAAATTTCTCAATACAGAAACTTAAAAATGTAAATGAATCCTTCTGTTCTTCCTCCATCTAACCGATCAATAATAATTTATGAATCGTGCAGTCAAAAATCTTCTAGTGAGTATTACATAAGTCATCGTTTTAAGATTATTTAACCATTTAAGAGTGTGTGTGTGTGTTCCTTTCAGTGGCTTCAATCAAACGTGTTAATCGTGATGTAATGAAATTCTGAAAATTTCAAAATTGTAAAGCAAAAGCATTCTTTACTATCTCCTTTAAATGGTCAATATGATGTGACAAAATAATTTCTTTTACACGTTATGTTATGACATAGATCATCATATTTCGTCAACATTTCATCGATTATTCTATTTGTTATAATTTTTGTCGAATTTCAGAAAGTACTAAATTTTTTGATGTTTTCGTTAAGATGGCTCCGAAAAGCACGGGCAAAGCCTTCAAAGGCTCTAAAGGAGTCTAAGAGACTCCGTCTAATCAGTACCTGATAGAACCCTCTAGAAAGTTAATGTGGCATGTTATGATTTAACATTTGCATAACTTTCCTCCTTGCGGATTGGTTGGATTATAATAATGTTATAGCCAAGACTAAAAATCACAAATACTCCTGTTTTTATATGCATCTCTGATTCTTACCCAATAATAGTTTCCCCTGCCTCTTCCGTGTTTTCATATGCGACTGTGGAGTTCTATATGTTCGAGTGCGGTTAGTTGTATACTGTACTGTAGAACGTAACAGTTTAGCAAGCAAGAAAACTGATGGTAACTTCATTTCCCTCTTTTCTGAAGTTGTAATTTTAATGTTATCCAACTAATTAAATATTTTTAATGCCAGTACCTTTTAAAATTCAACCAATTTCTAATTTAATACTAAAAGAAAACACAAATGACTCCTTAAAAGTCACTTGTATTTATGGAATATTTTAATATGACATTGTAATATTATCGAATAAAAACTAAAAATGGAATGACCTTCTGAAAGACTAGAATGCAAGATCTAACTGGTATCGTCTAATTGTTAGAGCTCGTAAACTTATACCAATCAATCTATAACCAAACCACTAATCTAAATTTTAATTAGGCTAGTTAATAAAAAATACTGGGTTTTCTGACAA